ACAGGCCTCCATCAGCAAAAGGAAAACGTGAAGCTAGAATCAATAACCATTCTTTAATAAAGGCAAATTCTAAAGAAACTAATTTAAATCTGATGTTAATTCATATATTTACAACATAAGTTAACTGTGTTACATACATATGTATGTGCATATATGCAAAAAAATTACACATTAATTTGCCCAATTCTGTAGGTTGCTCTGCTTCTCTAACACAAAGAAGTAGATTTGTCTTAATAGGCTTTAAATTATTTGTATACACTCTGATGTATGTCTTCATTAAGGCTTAATCCCAATATTCAAGCCCAATTAACTTTGCTTGGTTAAAACACCCTTCACATGGCAGAGGAAGTCCCAGTTTCAGTTCAGCTATAACAGCTAAAATTTGTTACCTGTCCTCACAGGCGCACTAGGGCTCAGCAGAGCATATGGTTTGCTACAGCTAGGAAGGTTTTTAGTTATAACTCAGAGGCAGAGAGAACAGTTCAAAGCTACTTCCAACTGAGCCTCTGCTGGCTATGCCATCTATGACACAAGATGTGCAGGATGCAGGCAAACACAATCCACCCAGACCAAGTGTTGTATATATATCAACATAAGCAATAACTGCTATAAACATTGCTGCCCTATATGTACAGCAATTTTTCTGTTGCTTAGTGGTAAATGTGCCTTCTCATATAGAACCTGAATGGCATCTTTCAGGAAGTAAGGAGTCCGAAGACTACTTGAGTATATTTTAAACAGTAAAACAATGCAGCTGCCCTGGTGTATATCCTGCAGATAAGCCAAGCTGTTAGGACAACCCTAGTATTAACACCAAGCCATGGCAATGTGTATCAAGCTTTCTACCAGCCTTATCATAGCAACAGAGGCAGCTTTCATCTGAACCCCTAAATCTACTTTTCTCTTTACCCCATTCTCTCCACAAAAAAGCAAGCTCTCAGAAGAGGAAATACTAGGGTTTTGGAGGGATTGTGACAAGGGACACAAGGAAGCAAGCTGGCAGCTAAGGGAGTATGGGAGCCCCTCAAGTGCACATTTTGTAGCAGGCAGAACATGAAGAAAGGTCACGCAAGGAAAGAACCAGCTTTGTTTGAACTTGAGGGCAAGAATTTGGAGAAGGAAACCGTAAGGGTGAGAAACATGAGGAAAAGACCATTACTGCTAGTAGGGCACAACTTTGGGAGGCGCAGCGCTTGGGCGATGCTGGAGTACAGGAACACAAGTAGGTTTGTGGGGTGGGAAACAAGCCAGCAACTAGTGCAGAAAGCATGAAGGAAGCTGAGGTTGACATGTTTCAGAGCTACAGTCAGAGAAATTTGGTCTTCATGCAAGTCTCAATGGATAACAAAAGAATCTTCTTCAGAAAGGCACAAGAGAAGCCACACTTCTTCCTCACTTGAGTGGTGCAAAAAAGACACAGCACTGGAATCAGCTTACATCCTTGTGATACTAGCATATGTGAACTTACTTCAGTGCAGAAGCAGCGGCACACGACCATAGTAAATGAAATCTTTTATTGCTTTGAAGCAGAAACAAATATGTAATTTATGTGCGTTCATGTATATAGGTACAATAAACAAGCCTCAAGGGAAAAACATGAGCCATTACACCTTTAAAAGTTCAGTTTTTATTTAAATTTTAAAACCAAAACTTGTGTGGAAACACAGCATGAACAATTTTTAACCTAAATTCAGAAGAAAACCCTTGGTCTAAAAATAATTTTTACCCTTTTCTGAAGTCAGTTAAAGAGTTAGAAAGTGATTTGTTTTTGTTTTTCACTTAACAGAAAACTAATAAAAAGAGAAATTGCTTGGAGTACTTCAACACCATCGCCTAGCTAGAACTCCAGTGGGTTTACGAGACAATGAGAGTAAAACCTGAAGGCAAAAAGAAACTTATATTTTTTCTGGGCCAGTATTAACTTTTAATTTGAAGCTTTCTAAACAAAAGCTTTTTGGTGTGTTCTTAAAGATTTTTTTGCCTTATCAATTTTTAAACTTCCTCTTACATATTATGAAAATATGCAGATTTAAGAATTCCCACCTCTGCAAATTGTTACATATGCTCAGAAGCCTATCCATGTCACCAATTCCCCAAAGCATGACAGTAGCATTCGGAAGGCAGATTTCAATATTGGCAAGTACAGAATGGACAAGGACAAAGGATCAAACATTAAAAGCAAACATTCTTCTTCTTAGCCAATATCTTGTCAAAGTGGTGCTTTTGACTCATTACTCTTTCAGTAAGTGAAACAGATTGACCATTAAAGCACAAAATAAAACTGCTAATTAAATTTATTTTAACAAAAATGCATGCAAAGACTCCTACTTAAACCCCTGTCTCAAGAGTTTGGAATTTGGAGAACCCATTTCTTTGGCATAATTTAGAGGTAAATCCTGAATCCAAAAGCCCTTAAAACACACTTTCTAAACTCTTAAATGTATTTTTCTACTGCATATATATTTCTAAAGCCACACAAGTTTCACCAACAATTAAAAAAACCCTTATTTTATGTTTTTAATAGCATCAAACAAATCCTTAATCTGAGATTGAATTTCATATGGCTACCGTGCTGCATCTAAATGGTCATTCTATTATTGCCAAAAAAAGGACTGCAAAAAGCTCAAAAATAAGACATCTGGAAGTTACAGTGAATTATTTTTCATTCCTTCAGCAACTACTGCACAGTGATTGATCTTCTGGTACTGTACAACATAAAGAATTAGCAATTAAAGGCTTCCATGTGTCCAGCAATACAATCCTACAAATCCTGTTAACCACAGGAGAAAAATTTAGAAGAACAGCCTCAATCAACAGGATTATTCACATCACTGAAATATGCTTACATGACTACTGTGAAATTTGTCCTTTACTGAATGACATGAAGCCTCTAAACTCTCAAACTGTGCACACAAAAGTATTTAATGCAGGATAAGTCAATTAAGACAACTATTTTTTGATCCTGTAATTCTAAGGCATTTTGCAGATGTCTGAAGCCCAGGCAGTAAAATAAGTTTCTTTTTGTTCTTCATAATACAAGTTCACGTTCTATGAAAAGACATATTTAGCCTTCTGTTTAGGGAAATAACCTTCGCATGCTAGGTCTAAGGATGCCCTATTATTCTAGATGGGTCTAGAAGAAGGCAAACTAAATTAACAGATACAACATTAAGTGTTAACATCTTCCAACTGTGTAAACATGGCATTAACTATGAAGCCCAATACCTTGTTTTCCTTTATCAGGAAAACTTGGACATGTCTATACCTCGTCTTGGAGCATGGAGGAAAGATTTGCATCCCAGCACCACTCATACCAGCCCTAGAGCGGGAAGCAGCACCACACACCCAACACGGTGCACAGGCAAGTTGCACAAGACTGCAACTTCAGCTTGTCAATTCCTGCACTGGGCTCTGCTACAGGCATAACCATGCCTTTTCTCTGTTCCGATGAGGAGTGCATCTACACAATAATTAATCGCATTAGACTGTTCTGCTTCAGATTTGTCAAAACTAATTCGGGTTTACTGATGTTAGCAAAAGATATACGCTTTATCTAGACCAGAAGAGAATAAGGTTATATAAACTTTGCTAAGATAGCCAGACAAATTAAATTGTTAATCCATGCCTAAACGAAAGGTCACTGTCAGCTCAGGGTTAGTTAAAACTTATTAGCTAATCTCTGACCTAATTTTGACCTCTTCTGTTAATTGCAGAAATACTTCCAAGTTAATATATTGGTGAGCTTTGTATACCCCCACTTCTGTGGTTTCTTTCCTTGCAGGTCATAAATTAAAGACAAAAATCTCTGTAGTCTAAGAATAATTGAAACCTGAGTAGCTCTATGTTGTTACCTAGAGCAGAACTGATAGTAGAGACAAGCATTAAGCATTTTAATCTGTTTCATGAAGGAAGCATTTATAAACATGAAGAAAGGAATGTCAAAGCCTTTATTTCACCTTTCTTTTCTTACAGATTATAAAATGTTACTTCACAGTGAATGTTACTTTGAAACACCCAATTCTTCTGCTTCCTAGTGCTTCCCATAAGAAAGAAGTACAGTTATATTTTGCATGGAAGAGAGAAACTAATTAAACACACGTTAATGGATCTGCAAACATGTTAGAAGTTTGTATCCAGAAATAACCATTTGCCATTGAGTGATACTTCTGAAAGGGCTATTCACATTGGGCTTGTTTAATCCCTTCAATAATACAATTGTTGTAGGACAGGTATAGGTGTGTATATACACATCATCTGTATTTTGCCTTCCCTAGGCAGATAAAAACAGTTTTTGCTCAAGTAAAAAGTGAAGAACCTGAGCTCCAGTTACAATAATTATACCTCTACATTCACTTTCCCCCCTTTTCTCCCCCCCCCTCCCCACCCCCAACTCCCACCTAAATCAAAAGTATTCAGGTTCTGGTAAAAATACATACGGGCTGATCTTAATAAAGTCTGAGGGATAAACTAAATCTGACAATCTTGTAAAAGGCATATAAATTTACAAAAAGAAATTCTAATAGTGTAAGAAATGAAAGTCTCAGAGTTTACAAAGCTATACAAATATTGCCTAAATAATATAAGGAATTACAGTTTGAAAACCTACTGTAATTAGATATTAAAATACGCAACAGAAATTCAATATACTCTTAAATGCTGGAGCCTTACCATTGCATTATGTTCAAATTCCTCTTTGAGGACTGACAAAAGCTTCTCCAAAGTATATTTATCCAGTCATATTGAGGATCACTCTTCACTCAAGAGAGAACATAACTCTAAATTATTCTCAGAATTTTTTTCTATAGGAAATAGGAAGAATGATCTTTTACCATTTGAACAAAGGCACCTGGCCTTTTGCAAAATGAAAAGGCTCATCCAATAAAAAGTTATTTTATTACCATATGGACTGCTGTTTGGATTAAATCCAGACTCATTTGCTAGCTTCAAATAAACTACATTTCACTATCAGCATAGTTTTCCTAGATTTTAACATTAGTTACCAAAAGTTCCATTCTTCTGAGTTTGCGTTTATTCTTTGGCATGGGCTTGTCATATAGGCCATTTTTGAGAAGATGCTCCTTGCTGTGATGGATCTGGGCACCATGCTGAAGCTGGAAAGAACATAAAGCTTGAAGTGGACGGAGCATAGTCTGCAGAAAAACAGGGGAGAAAAAAACCCAACTTCTTAGTAAGCCATGATGGAGACATCACTTACTCCAGTTTTTGTGTTTGAGGGCTACTATTAAAATTGCTGGTTGAATATAATTTATGCAGAACCAGTGGGGTCATAGTGGGTACAAATGAATAAGAGACATACTAAAAAAGCCACACAATAGAGACACATCCAACCGCTGTCATTCCTTGCTCCTCTCTCAAACCTCCTTGCTCTCGTCTTTAGCCCCAGCTGCATTATGTAGAGCTATGGTTTTACTTCACCTTAGCAATGGACTACGATCAATTACCATGACTCAGTCAACAAGTGGTAATAAAACAAATGACTAAATTGTTCGTGGTTGCATAAAAATACCTTAAGGCAGCATTTTAGAAAGAGAAAAGGGTCTCATGTTCAAAGTAGCTGGGCTGCTATCCTGGAGACTGGATTTCATCCCTGTCTGCCCCTACTGATATTACATAAGGCTAATTAAACCACTTGAGATAAGTTTAAGTGGTTACTAACTGCAGGTTCTTCATTTTCTGGTTGCATGGCTTATTATTCAGCCTCATGTACAGATGTGTAAAGCAATCACACATGTAACTCAGTCAGCAGGAACCGAGTTCAATCAAAAAAACGTAACTCTTCTGTGCACACTAAAAAGCCAAGTGACTTATACTGGGCATCAAATTAATCAGCCATTCTTAACTTCCATTCTTCTGGACCTCAATGCACCACCTTTATGCTGGGAAAGGCAGCCCTCACTTAATTCAGAGAGATTATTAAAAGAGTTCACTGATGTTGATCAAACTCCGCAGTATCGTAACATCTGTAGGAGCACTTTGAGAAGTTGACAGTTTTGTCTGAGAAGTAGGCTGGAGCAAATACCAAGCAGCAGGGACAAAACAGTACAAGGCAGGGAGTTGTAGACACTAAGAAAGTATTCTTCCTGGGCATGAATGAGACAGCAGGTCAAATGAAGAAAAAGTATGCCAACATTGTCCTAGCACACCAAAGGAAACAAAATGAAATATGCAAATCTGACTTTCATTTCACTATTTCTCATTGTTTTGTATTTAGCTTCTACAGTAACTGTATTCTTTCAGCATAACAGCATATGATATCAGCGCTGTCACAGAAGTACACAACTTTCTGGGAAAGTTTCTCTACCCAAATTTCAAATTTCTGAGCCACATTTTCCTGTAGGGCCACACACTGCATCATAATCTGGTTCTTAAGGCAACTGACTTAGCATTGAGGTGACTCTCTAATGTCACAGGGCAGACTGTCATTTATGGCATTCTGCCATTCATCCTTGCAAATCCAAATTGAAGGAGGATTACTGGAGAAAAAAGGGGAAGGGATGGTATATTCTACATTTAGCCAATTGCACATGCAATTTTTTGCCCTGGGAACCATTTTAATTGATGACCAAGTATTAAAACATTCATTATTTGATGGAGAAAAATACCAACACCTGCAGTGGATACCAGAATGCAATGAACGCATGGATGAGCTTTCAGTCTCTTTCTACAGACCCCTCTGGACTACTCTTAGATTTTTTTTTTTTTTTTTTTTAAGAGGCTTATACATCGACATTCTTTAATTTGGAATAAACGTAAGTACTGTTAAGTCCTCCAGTTTAAATTAATTTCCTCCAATGACACTAAATTGCTATAAACTGATTGGTAATAATGAAGAGGTAAGCCAGTGGGTTGCGTCCCCTAAGATGCTGGCAATCCACGGGGCATGCTTATAAAAGCGGTTTATCTTCAGTCTAGTTACAGGGTGTATTCAGTCCCTGCAGCCTAACTCTTGCAAAGAAAAACTTGTTATTTTCCATATAGTAATATTTGATTGCCCATCCTGAATTGGATCAGCTTTTGTTTTCTGAGATCATCTTGCTGTGTTTTCATTTCTAGAAGATCATTTAAAAATATTTATCTATTCAAAAGGTAAGTTATTTATCTCCAGTAAGTATTACGAGACTAATAAAAAGCTACTAAGGAAATGAATCATGGCAGATCATTACATTAACTTGCTTTAGAATCTAACAGCAGCCATTCTCAACAACATTTGTTAGTCCAGTAATTTCAAATTCAGATCTCAGCTAAGCAAATTACCTATAAGAGCCAGTTAAAAGGCTAATTAAGGACAGAAATTTTACTGATGCTACTTTTCAAAATTTAAGTTTCCTTAAATCTTGGATATACTTTTCCTTCTAAATAAATTCTATCCAAACCTATTTTAGTTAGAGGCTCTTGGGGATTTCTGATAGCAACTCAAATAATTCTATTCCTCATTATTAGATTACATAGCCACTTGTAAACATGATAACTTGTAAGAGAAAATTTAAAGGTTTCTATTCTGTATTCAAGTGAAATAATCCTTTTTTCTTGGGGGGGGGGAGAATATATACATCCCCCCCATATATATGTATTATGTACAGTGTGTAGGATGAAAAGACTGACTAAATTGATTTAGGTTTCATCTCCCACTAGGGAGAAGCACAAGAAAGTCAAAGGCACAAAGCTTTCAAGATTCAGCACAAAAATTTCATTCCAAACACAAATTGCCACATCATTCAGTACCAATGAATCCCTAATCAACTCAATCATCATGCTTTTTTGCCTTCATGAAAGTTATGTTACAGAATGATTATAGGCTATAATCACAGCCAATTTTACTAGTATTTTCTGTCGATACAAAATACCAGTCATACTTTTAGAGGAAATACAACTTTGGTAACATAAGCGTACAACACGTAAAGCTCATGTGTTACGACAACTAAGCATAAAGTTCGTTTAACTAGTACATAAAACAGTAGGTTTTGATAAGCTACAGTTAAGAAATGAGCAAAGAAAAATGTTAAAAATATCAACAACAGGTTATATTAGTGCAATTCAGCATATTACAAATGCCTTGTGCACAGTCTGTGGAAGTTGTTGCACAGTATTGCAGTAAAAGCATCAAGTGAACTTCAGAAATCACAGGAAGAGATACTCGTCTTAAGCCACATGCATTATTTGTCCTGCTACATACACAACAGTGCTTCTTCCAATTATTTTGGGCTAAGTGTACAGATGAACAGACTTTGAGTCATCACCCTTCTCAAGAGATTTCAAAGAGGAGAAAGGAGGTTTAAGAAAGTGGTAGAGGGTGGAAGATAATCTTATAGGAAAGAAAATGGGGTAGAAGGAGAGAAGGAACTGCAGGACACAAGGACCGCTAAGATAAAAATGCATAAAAGGTAGAAGAGAAATAGTGAACGAGAAGTAGAAAAAAGGAAGACAGAAGGAAGAGTGAGCAACAGGTACAGGAAAAAGGAAATGCAAATCCTGTGACACGAACCTGTAGACAGCACAACATGAACATAAAAGTGAACTGACTGGGAAAAGTGCTAGACAAAGAAGAAAAAGGAAAAAAGGAACGGAGGTGACAAGTTATGAATGTAGCAGCTCTCAATAATCAATATATTGTTCCATATACAAAACATGCTGCCAGAGACAGAATTAGTCCATCAGATAAATAATCTGCATTCAGCCTTGAGGGTCATGCCAATACCAAATACATTCTGTTACAGGAGATATCTGACACTAACTGGTACTTTAAATACAACCCAAGCAAGATTTTTATGCCTGAACCTTGCCAAGGTTTATCTTGAGACAACTCCTCACAATAAAAAAGCCTATCTAATCCCATTATTGATATAGGAGTATAAACACTGTACCACAATTCAATGTACTGAAAATAACATCAAAATAAAAATCAAGGGCATTGTACCTTACAAGTTCTCTCAACAGTTTGACAGCAACATTGAATAAGCCTAGGAAGAGTATACAGGCTCTGAAACACCACAGGGGAGGGTCATAATAATTTAACTATATTAGAGAGTTCATAAATATAAAATCTATTTTCTGTTGCATTAGTACACTGTTTTAGTTTGCTATGGCCCTTACATGGCTCTTAAGATTGGGATTGTCAAATGCCATATTAATATCCAACTTTGCTGTACCTGTGATATTCATAACAGAAACTTAAGTTAATTACATACCTCTTGTATACTCTTATTTTTTTCCATGATGGAAAGAGCAACAGCTGCGCATTCAAGTGTAGACAGACAAGTGTTTGTGGGCTGTGTACGAATTACATACTGACTTGAAATGCTGGTTTTTAACTGCACCTGAAAAATAGCAAACTCTCCTGAAGCAGACAGTTCAGTCCAGCAAATAAGCACCCCTTTTCTACACTAAGAAAACTAAAGCCTCAGTCCCCTTCCACTCGGTAATCAATTGTGTTCTTACCTTTTTGCCGTTTTTGTCTCCCAATAGCCAATGACTTTATGCTACAGTTATTATATACCCTGAGAGCCACCACAGACAAGAACTGAATATTTCCCAATGTACAAACATGTCTAACTAATACAACTGATTGTCAGAGGAAAAACTGAATGAAACAGAGGCTATACATTAAGACAAAGTTTTTTGTTACTCTTCTGTGCTTTTTCTCATTAGCAAAAAACCCCATGAAAAAGAATAAAATACACTAGGAACCAATTTCAGATGCCCTAAAACAAAAATAAAATACCTGCCATGAAAGTCCTAACCTGACTTACACATAATCACACATGTGTGCTTTATTATACACACTGAATACATACATGCTCCTTCCTATACAGGATACAATGGCTCTGTATATACTCACTGACACTACTGACCCTGTTTAAACATTATTTGGCATATTTTGAAGCAAAAATGTCCTTTAGAAACTGCATTTGTCCATATAATTTACGGGTCACTTTGATTAGAACTGACTTGCTTATTTAAAACCTATCTCAAACTGATTTACTGGCTCTGCCTCAAGCGATAAGCACTTCATACTATCTCAGAGGTTAAACATTTAAGAAATAGAAGCTTCTTTCAACCATTACACTGCTCCAAAAACTTTTATTGCCTTCTCCACATACATTTAAAGTAGCTTTGTCATACAAGTTAAGGCTTGGTAACATAATTCCTGGTTAACAATAATCAATTCCTTTCCCAAACAATTACAATACAAAGCAATAAACCCTAAGGAATTATTTTAAAAGTGCAAGTCAATTCATTTGTCTTGTTCATTTTCATCCCAGCAGTTCTGTCTTTTATTTCCCCATCTTCTCCAGATGGGCGACACTTTCCCGCTCATTGCAATATGGCTCCCACCTTGGTTGCCTGAAGTTTCTTTTCTCTATTTAGACTTCTCTCTCACTTTTCTACTTTTTGCTTTTTATTTGTAGTGCCTTCATCTCTCACGTTCAGTTATTCCTTCATTAAAGTTAAGATTTCTCATTTATGAAAGCGAACCTCCAACCTGCCCAAAGAGGATGATGCGGGATGACTGAGATCAAATTCCAATACCTTAATTGACACTATGGGAACTGAAAAACATGAAAAGAGCAAAGCCATTCTGGAAAGGAAAGTAGGTTAGATATAAAAGCTCAGTACACTCAAATACATGAAAAGGAACCATCTTCAGAAAGATGCATTTTTCTAGCTCGTTCTGTTTTGAAATGCTGGCCTTTAGTTGCTGTTGGGTAGGTTTAAAGGACAAAGACATGCATGATTCAGAATGTTTTAGAAGTTTCTAGCAAGGACATAAGATAACAGAGATCCACTTCAACACCCAAAGAATACGCACTTCAATTAAAAAGTTGATGTAAAGCAATACAGTGCATTATTTTTGCAGTATATAAAATACATGTCTTCTCAAAACTGCAATATTAAAGGTAGCTTCTTAAGTCCCTTAAAAGCACACCTTCCAGAAACCACTTTGCGCCCTCTTTCCTTTCTGACATATTTTTGTCATTTTCTGATATTCTCTTCCTTTTCTCAACCCCTTTTTCTTCTCACTGCTCTAGCAGTGTTCTTCCTTCAGTCTCCTACAACTCTTTCATTTTTCAAAATCTTTCTCTTCCTCCTTATTCCAATTCAGTACTACCCCAGTGCATGACTAGGCTCTTATTACTTCTCTACATAATATGCAACCCTACCTTCTAAATCACTTGACCCAAGCTAAATTCACACCTTGGTATGCCCGCTCTCCAGAACAACCTTACTCTTCGTCATGAAAAATTCTTCTGTTACAGGCAACATCTCCCCATCAGAATCTGCAGACGTGCAAATATGCCAAGACATGCTTCCTTACAGTAAGGGATCCTAAGGAGTTAAACACCATCTTTCAGCTCCTATAGCTTCAGTTTGCTCACATCAGTATTTCAAGATATATCAGTCCTTGGACAACAGCATGAGAAATTTGAGTGAAGAGCGATGCTTTTAAGGTTGCTTGCCACAGTAATTACCTGGGATGCATTACATTTTTAATCAGGTTATACAATTAGCAACTGCTAATTAACTCTAAAATGCAGCGGTGTTCTCAACTATAGAAACATATCTTTCCCAAACATTACTTAGTATTCCTATGTATTTGAAAGAAACAGGTAGAGATGACACTTGAGAGTTATTTCCTGCAAATTCAGTGTCATCTTCACTTAAAACTCATTTTCAGTTTCTGCAGCTATTCAGCATATTTCTGCAACTGGATTGGCACAACATATGACAAATTATTCAATTAATGCATGTGAACTACTAACTATAACGGTGAAAATATTTTATATTTAATGCCGAGTTATCTGAAGCTACTTCATGTCTGCAAAAATCAAGGTCTACAGTCTCTAGCTCTGTACTCCATGCGACCCAGTGCTATTACACTATGCCAGCAACCCATCATACAATTCTTAATTTATGGTCATACTGCAGAACTTTCATATATTTTACATTATATAAAGGATGTTAACACTTACTTGGCTATTAAACTGCAAATCTAATCCCCCATACTGAAGAATAGATCCAGACCAGATTCAAAAAGGAAACTAGTGAATATACACTAGCCTTTGCCAACTGCTTTCTTCAACTTTTCACAGTATTGTAAAAAGATAGAGGAGAAATTGATTCAGGAGAGAGAAGGCAGAACCCAGACCTCCAAATTCTATATATACAACAAAATGCAGAAGTAAATGAAAAGACTATAATTTTAATTTGTTGTTCTTTAAGGTTTGCTTTATTTTTACATTTCCTTCCTGGGACCATGTATGGATCTCAGGATCCATGGGACCATGACATAGCAGGAAAGCTGTTTTTTTCCAGTTATACAGAGCTGCATGCTGGAGGGAGTTTTTAGTCCCTGCTAGGAACCCTGCTAGTTCCTAGCCAGGTGTTAAGAACAAGGGCCAGCTCACTCCATTAGTTCTCCAGGATGTAGCCTGAGCAACAGACCAGGCACTTAACCTCACCAGAAAGAAATCTTTTTCTCAGAGGACAATCACGTTCTTCACAGTCGTTCCAAAGACTCAGAGAAACCACCTCCTGTAATACTGGACTACCTGAAGATGCACTGACATCCCTTTCCTTGGGCCCAGGCAACAGTGCCTTAAAACTTTTTTCTGGAAGAGCTGTCTGTGAAAAGGTCTATCTGCTGGCTCCTACCCTTCATGAACTGCTTTGGGCTCACGCTGGAAAACGTCAGATCAATATTCCAGCAAAAGGAAACTTGACCCTAACTTCATGATTCTAACAAGCTATACAGAAGAAACTCTGTCTGTACTCTGCCTTATGCTGTAAAGTCCGAAATCTGTTGAGCACAGCCTTCCAACAGCTGACATGGTACATAAGGACAAATTTATATTTAAATCAGTAGCAGCAACCAAGTTGTTTCTTCTTTCTTGGGAGAAGTGAGAGAGGATGGAGAGAAGTTATCCCAAACCACTTCTCTGAAAAATGAGACATTCACAGGGATGGGATGAAAATAATGAGCAGCTGACTCGCACACAAAACACCTCACAGACAGTACAGTGGTGGGCAGAGAAAGAATACTTGACCAGGACAACTTCCTGCTACAGTTTGTCTCAGATTTCTTTCAAAGATGCAATTTGCTCTTAAAGCACAGCACCTAAATAAGAGATCCTTAGACACAAGAACGTCACCTGAAATACAAGCAGGGTAGCCTGACTGCCTACCATAATTTGGATACGCTCACTGAAGGAGTGATTGTGTACCACAAGCTACATATGCTCACTGACTAAATAAAATACATCAAGAAGGAGCTCTACCAACTTAGAGCACAAGGGCTCTAAGGGGGCAAGACGAAACCAATACAGAAATCAAAATGAAATACAGTCAATACATATTTCAGACACAGGGAAACCCTCTTGAAAATGTGCCTAAAAATCAATAAAGACATGAAATATTTACTGTTCTCAAATGTGGCTGGGAAAGACTACTACTTCTATCAATTTTAAACAACAAGACTCTAACGTGTGACTTGTCTGGCCTTTTGTGGAGCTAAAGTAATAGTTTACAAGGCCATTTCAGGTAAGGTAATGCAACAATCTCATCAAAACTGCTCCATTTGTCCATAGAGAAAGCATTAATCACCTGTATATCTCAAATCGATCTGAACAAGCTTCAGTGAGTTAGGGAAGTGCACCCTCTGTACCTTATGTAAACAAAGTCAGACTTTATCTATCTTCTGCTTTACATCTGAAAACAACCTCAGAATAAGCATTCTTAAATATCCTATTCAAGTATATCTCAAAACAAGAATCATATTTCATAACCATTTCCCCATAACATGATGCAAGTGTAATGATAGAATAGTTTAATTTTAAGCCTGTCAAAGCAATTTGCAAAGTGATAAGCGTACTCTACAACATTGTAGTTACCACCAAAATATACAGTAGTGTCAGGTTCAAAGGACAGCAGCCCATTTAACAGCACTCAGCAAAACTAAACAATAGCCTAAAAAAGAAAATGGAGAATATCTCAACCAATTCAAACTAGAGAGGGGAATTTAGATAAGCTGAATGCAGTTACTCAGTGGAATTTAGCCAAGACACTGAAATTAGCATATCTATTCTTTTCGCAAGTGCCAGGGAATTTGGAGACTTAGTTTTCAAGCCATCAGAAGCCTGAAGCAACATTTAAAACCAAGTTTCACTTCTATGTGTAACTCAAGAGCCAGGGTTTCCGGAGATCTTAAAGTCAGCACTTCCCCAGCTATTATACTATTTTAATCAACACTGAATCCCAGTAGAAGTAGTAGCCCTTCAGCATTTCTCAGGGCTGAGCTCTTCTAAGACACTCTTTGGGA